CTCTCTCTCTCTCTCGCTCTCTCTCTCAAAGAATTGCTAAGTCTTTTCTGTGCTCAATTGTGTGCACTGCACTCCTCCTGGCCAAAGGGCAAGCACTCCTCCAGAGTATTAAAGGCAGGAGAAATGGAGAGCCGCTGTCTGGCGTGGCAGGATGAGACTCGAACAGTGATTTCCTCTTAAAACGCAATCAAATGGGAGGACTGGAGAGCTGGGATACAGGATACAGGAGAGCATAGCGACCTCGCTGACTCCACAGCTCTTCATTTTGGGCCCTGACAAAGTAATTGACTCTTTCTTTATTCATTCCTTTCATTTATCTGTGTCTTTAATGATTAATGTTGTGTGATAGGGATGTCTGTGAATGAGTTCCAGCTGTCACAGTCTTGTCTCAATCATTTCATCTAGATGATTCTCGCTTTGACAGAGAAATGGCTCAATTCATGCATTCTGAGTGAAGAGCTTTCCTCTCCTTTAGTCAGTCATTGCAGAATCACAAGATCGTCTCAGTCTCTTACAACATGCCTATATATTGCAAACCAAAGGGCAAGAGGTTTGTGAAAATCAGAAGCTCCAATCTGACTGGCTCGCTGATGTGACTCAATCTCAGTGCTCTGGGATTTAAAGATGAGTTTACAAGCTTATTTTACCCCAAAATCAAAGGACATAGCCTACATAACATTTTGCATAAAGAAAATGAAGACCATTAATCATGTGTTGTCTTGCATTGTAACATTATTTTTATGACAATTAAGCACAGTTTCCAAAATTCTCATACTTTTCCCTCTCATTATTCTGACTGATGACTCTCATTAATATAATACAATTTTACAAATGATAATAATAGCCATAGTACATAAATACAGTAGTATTTACAGTTCTTTCTCTCTCTCTCTCTCTCTCTCTCTCTCTCTTTCTATTCCAGTAATATTTAATGTTGGGAGAAATGAGCTTAATGCCAATAACACCATGCCAGCTTCTATGGCTATATTTATGGCAAAAGCCAGGTTTTGTTATTCAAAAATAAAACAAAAAATGTTTAAGATTCATTTTTCTAAAAACCCTTATAGGTTTACTTGATTAAAAACTTTTTTAAAAGTGTCAACAGAATAAAAGTTCCTCAAAGGGAAAGAAGTACTACAGTCTAGTAAAATATGCTTGATTGATAGTGGACTTTGACAAGATTAATACTTAAGGAAATTTTATCCTATTTAAATTTAAATGTAAGTCTTGAGTGTGCTAAATAACTAATAATTGATAATAACAGTTGATAATAACGGGATCGTATGTAAATAACTTGATACCAGCAATTACTAAAAGGGAATACATATCTTGTCCCAACCTCCCAAAAATTATTATTACTATAATGCAAAAAAAAAAAAAAACTATGTACAAGTGTAATGAATATGTTTGTTTGTGTGCTCTGTACTCACTTGAGTGTTTCGGACAGGTAGAAGCTCTGCTGCACGTCATCATGGTTGGGAGTGTTAGCGTAGACGTCTCTCACTCCACTGTAACCCCCTTCCACCCTGCAGTACTTCTCCAGAGCCTGATATTCAGAGATACAAATGTACCTGTCAGTATCAATGTAATAGCTTTACACATTCCTAGCAAGTGTCATGTAGCCTACTTTTCATTTTCAGAGACAGGACACCGATGCAAAGGTGCTTACTGGACCAAGTCAAAAGACCCCATCCCAGAAGCATAAGGCCCTCGAGATTTCCTTAAGAGTTTACCTTCAACCAGTATTTGTAGCCTATAGTAAATATGAAGGTCTTAATTAGGTTGTTTAGCTTATGTTTGATTAGGGTGAGAGCTGCCCACTCTTGCTTTAGGATATTCTAGTCTCTAGATAAATGTGTTGGGCTACTCCTTAGCCTTTATGATTTTCAGCTTTTTTTTTTTTTTGTAAGTAAATGGTAAGTCCAAACACACAGAAAATTAATAACACAGATCACCTCAAGGAGTATCATGATTGAAGACAGCTAAAACTGTGTGGGACAATTTATGTGCTAAAGTTTAATACTCAAGGTTTAGGAATTTGTTTGAATACCAAACCCTAAATATGAGCACCATGACATGACATTATGACATATTTATTTATTTGAAAAAAGTTATTTTATATATATATATATATATATATATATATATATATATATATACACAATATTTTGTGAACAATATTTGAGAGAAATTGGCCTTTTGTGTACATAGAAAAAGTCTTAGATCTTTAAGAGACAAACATTTAAAAATAATATGTTTTAAATCAAACATCAAGATTTAATAGAAAAAAGCTATTTGATTTGTTTAAAATTAGCCTCATAAAATCTAACAGTCTAACAGTAATGGGACTTGTGTCTCTAATGGGACAGCAATTTGTGCACTATTTGTGAAAAGTGCCATTATATTCAAAATTATCAGTGTTGTGGTGATGTGTAGAGTGTGAAAAAGGACATTTTAAGATAATGAAGATTTGATAAAGTAGTTTTGGAGCAAAGAATCAAGCTTTTCATTGAGTGAGTGTTGAGCCAGCACATTTTTCTGAGAGAGGAATAGATGGCGGAGGGTGAGCGAGGGAGGAAGAGATGTGATGTATCGCCTGAAGGGATAGACACATCACAATGGCAATCTGAAGTCATTATGATACAATTACAAGGCTGTGAGATCCTGGCGGTCTCCATTGTCTCTAATCCTGCTGTGCTGAAGTGCAGGGAGCGTCTGAGGGCAGGGATATAGCTGTGATTCACAGTCTGGCCTACATCCCGGGCCTAATGTGGCGACGTGTTTACCAGTCACAAACTGGTGGCGTTACGTAATTAGTGATGCGACAGTTCTCACCTGCACCGCCTCCCAGCCCCACTGTCTGTATTTGGGGTCGTGGGTGAACCTCCACATGTACATGTAGGTCTCGATGACCTCTGGCCTCAGGATGAAGTACTTCTCGTTTTGCCGTGTGGCAATGGCTTCTACACCGCCGTCAAAACGGAAGGCCTCGGGCCCCAGCTTCATACCTGAAACACACATGCTGTCAAATTCATCGCTTAAACATTCATGTTGACAAGGGATTATGGCATTACATTGTTCCTGAGATGAAGAGAAATGCTGGATGTGGTGGATTAGGGGCTGGGGCATAATCTGGACCTTTGATAATCTGCGGCCGCTAAAAATACCTAAGCATTATGAACAGGCCAGTGATGACTGTGTATGTGTGTGTTTAACAAGGGATTTGAGTGTGTGCGTGTGTGTGTGTGTGTGTTCAGGGTTAACGGCAATGGATTTAGGGAGTCTCTACATTGGCCATGTGACTATTATTGACAGAATAGTTCACTTTCGGGTGAGCACTTTATAATTCTCACTAGGATCTGTATTATATCATACTGGCACTGAACAGAGTCAGCAAAACAAACAACTTGTCTAGTAAAGTAACCAATCACAGCACAGATGTGCAAAAACACATTACATACTCCATAGGCATGTCGGACAAACAGAAAAATGTTCTGCAAAAACAGTTTATAAACTATAATTCAAATATTTACGAATTTAAGTACATTATTTTGCTTTCATTTTACAATTTTCCAAAAAATTTCCATTACTTTAATATTTATAGAAGTAAATAAGATTGAATTTTATTGTGTTATTGCCTATAATGATAAATCACTCACTTGTTCGCCTTATTTGTTAGTCTTTTTTTGCATAAAATCTGCTGCTAAACTAATAAATGAAAATAAATAAATAAATAAATAAACAAAATGACCAGAAATCATCTCGATATATATCTGCATAATTTTTATATTTTTCCTTTAAGTGCTTTTGATTTACTTTTGTAATTCTCATTATTCTCAATACCATTCTTATTACTGTTACACAGCAATTTACATAAACAAAAAATATAAATCAAAATACTTTACAATAATAATAAATTAAAATAAATAAATTCATATAAATATATTTATATAACTGAATCTGAATTGGGTGGCAAGGGGTGAAGAATAGAAAATAAAATGGTACAAAATTAGGCTTCTTTATACAAAACATTATTTTTTTCAGAGCACACTGTAATTTTCTAACTATAACTAGAAAATGTATTAACACACAGATTAAAAATTTATATAATAATTTCAATCCATTTAATTAATTTTTACATTTGTTTATTTATTGCTAGAAATGTTTAACATTTTTCTTTCAACATTTTCAAAGCAGTTCTCCCACTCACTTGTCCGGGCGTAAGACTCGTGACACGTGCGGGCGATCTCAGCCGCCAGTTCCATCTGGTGACCCGTCTTATCATCGGGGCCTCCGTCCGCCCCTAAAGCGATCATACCACCGGCGAAGCAGGTCAGGTGACCCATCTTATGCTCCAGGAGTCCGCCTTTCCATTCAGCGATATACATCAACCCTCCGCTTGACTTACGGATCAAATTCTTCTCAATCGCCTGCACACAGAACAGAGAATGAAAACAAGAGATCACTTTAAATGGTTTTTAATGTCAATTTCTTTTCTCTGTGGTTATTCATACTGTGTGGGTTAAAAGGAACTTTGTCCTTGTTTGCATTTGTTTTGTTTGCCTAACACAAAGGGAGACATTCAAGGCTTTGGAGTGATTTCATTCTCTCAAAAGCGTCATCTGAACAGTTCAAGGCCCGAAGTAAGTTAGATCATAGCAGAGATCAGGGTCACAGCTGTGTGTGCCAGTGTTGTGTATTTACAGAAGCGTCGCACACATGGGAAATGAGATTCTTATCTGCCTGGGAAAAAAAGCCTCTGTGCATTTGAATGGAAAACTGGAGACGTTCATCATCATGGTACCAAAGTAAAGAGAATAAGTATAGTGCTTGATGCTCTTTTTTTCTTACATCACTCTCTTTGTTCTTCTATTTCATCATAAATATGGCACCAGTGTTGTGGAGAAACTAAAAGTAGTTACAGCACGAGCATAACATTTTTTTTTCAGTATCTTGACTGAATATAATAATGCACTGATGTAGGCAACAAGTAGCAGCATAGATGCTTGTTTTGTCTAATTTTATTACGGAGTGAGATGAGTAAATAATCAAACATCTCTTAGAATGTACTCTCTGATTCAAGCATTCGATTCTGGATCTTGTATCACTCTGAAGAGTTTATACTGCGATCGTGACCGACTGTTCATTATCCTGTGTATTACTACTGTGCCAACGTACATATCAATGGACATAAAATATTGATTTGAGTTCTAATTATTTTATTAACCAAAAGAAAAAAAGTGTGGAGTGATGCATGAAACCACAGCTACTGAAAAACTACTCTCCTGCCACAGAACAGGGAAACATAAATCACTACTGTAAGGTATTTTCGTCAAAACTAAGCCTTAAAGTCCAGGATCACCTCAAATATTCTGCATAAAAAGAATTTGTAGAACTAAAAAAGTAATGAAAGTAAAAATGATTGAAATCAGTGCTGTTATTGTTAAACTAAAGCTGTTAAAAATCATTTTTGTAACTAAATTAAAACTTTTGAAATTAAATTAAATTAAAACAATTTCAAAATATAGTAATACATACTACAGCAGTATATAAATAATAAAACATTTATATATAAATAATTTAAATAATATATAATGAATATTTTTAAATGGTTTAAATAATATTTATCAAATGTAAAATAAAAATAAAATAAAAAAAATCACATTTTCAAGCTTACCATAACTAGAAATATATAGGAAAGTCAAATAAGAAATCAGTTGCCTGAATGCCAGTTTGTAGCTCAGAAAGCCAGTTGCAAAGCAGCTTCCCCAACACTGTTTGCAACAAAAATAAAAACTTGAGTATTTAGCATTGCTCTAACAAACAGAACTCAATCTGCTGCGATACGTCAACGGTCTTTGCCGTAATGTCCTTATTTTTCCCAATGGTGCAAATAATCGAATGCTACAGCTGAGAGTTGTGGATGAAAGGAGATGATTGAGCGGCCTTTCCATGGTTAGTGAGATAAATTAGTGTAAATCAGGCTGTACAGAGAGAGAGTAAAAGGCCTGATAAAGAGCTCTCTGTAGCTGTAATGAATGCCTGGGTAGAATGGTGGACAGAACGACCGTTCTCTGAAGGTGACCGACATAATGCACTTTTCTTTTCCTGGATGATTGGCCTGGAGTCCAAAGTGTGTGTGTGTTCGAGTCACTCCAGAGAGGCACCCAGACAGACGGCCAGAGGGACAGCATTATCTTAGGCAGGTTGAGATGGTCCTCTCTAATGAGTGAGGATTGAGTTCGTGGTCTGTAACAATCAGTCTGCAGCAGCTTTCCAAAGCTCTCACGGACGGCTCCAGCAGAACAACGCTGGTGGCAGCTTACACACACACACACACACACACACGTACATGTACACGTACACGTACACGTACACACACACACGCACACGTACACGTACACGTACACACACACACACACACACACACACACACACACACACACACACAAACTCACATAAACTTTACTTTTCTACATTTGGACACTATGAAAAGGAATTCCAACTCACAACCTTAAAACCCACAGAGGATCAATTTCTAGCTCAAGCTTGGACAACAGACCAAAAATTGCAAACACTTTCAATATTCACATTGGAAAAACTGGACACTTGAAACTTGAGGGCAAAAAACATACAAACCTACAGAACAACCACTTCCGTTATTCTAGTTAATAAACTTTAGTCTGACTATGTTAAATTTAATTTGTGAATGATAAATAAGCTGTGAGGTTAAAAATTAATTCTCTACAAATTCATTCATATTGTGCATCTTGTGGAAATAAAAAAGAAAAATAAAACCCTTGAGAATTGAATTTGAATTGGCAAACGGTACAGAATTGCAATTTAATTTTGAATTTAATGGTGTATAACTAAAAAATAACAAACCTTACAGTTTTAACAGTATATTTCATTTTTAGTATGAATTTCCCATAAATATATTATCATACAACAAATGGAGTATTTCCAGAAACATTCTAAACGATTATTATATACACAATCAATGTTTGAATTGACAACTATAGTATTATATATTAGCTATATAATTAAATAAATAGCATTTTGTTTTTGCATTATATTTAATAAAATAACTTTGATTTTATGGTAATCTTCTAGGTTGTACTACTTTACTCTTTAAAACAGCCAAACTTCAATGTGTATTCACCAGACTTACTTATTTTTTTTTTTTACATTTATTTTAGTTATCTGAAAATAATGTGTGAAAATTAAAATTAGTGATTCATTTGTGTATTAATTGTTTTGACAATACTGGACTCAGTTTAGAATAACTGTCAAACCTAAACAAAGATATTCTACAATTCAGGAAATAAATAGGCATAATTAGTCAAAACTAATTATGTAATTATGTTTTATTTGTCTAATATATGTCCTATCTTCGAATGAACTGCAATTTAGTAAATTCCACTTGTCATTTCAATTCAACATCCTGCAGGATGTGGACACGTCAAATTAGAATTCACATTCATGAACTGAAAGGCACCCAAATCTCAAATTCACAATTTCACTCAACCCTGGTATCAACTCGAGACTGTGTTGGTACTGAGTTCCTATTGGACACTGAAGTAGTCTGTATCCTCACTATTTTGCAGACACAAGTCACTTTAGCTTGCAGGTCTCCTCCAAAAACAAGGATGTCAAGGATGCTCTTGTCTAGTCAGCATTTGATCAAATGGCCAGTAGAGTGTAACATTTCTCTGGGCTTTTTCTCTCTCTGTAACATTGGACTTTACCTGCAGGGCATCGTAGTAAAGCTTCTTTCCCTCCTCGTCAGTTTTGTCTGACATGAGCCAGGCCTTCAGCAGGTACTCGTAGAAACTGTCCCCCAAGCCTCCAACCGAGACATGATCTGCAACACAGCGAAAACAGCTGTGTGAAAAAACTCTTCCTACATTCATGTGCCAGCACAATAGTCTGCTTTAAACAGAATAACACAATTTATGGAGCACACACACAAACAATCACGCAGTACGAGAGATTTAGAGAGACGCTCTCATCTCAGCGATTTTTACAGTATGGTAACAAATGCTGGAATTGAATTGTGCAAATGTCAAAAAGCGAACCTGGAGTGCTTCACATTCACAACACATGTCAAAAGAGCAGCAGTAGTAATCAGAGAGCATTATTGCTTAAAGCAATGCCAACACTGAAAGATATTTTATTACAAAAATATACTTAAATGAGTTCTGAATGAATAAAAGAATACAAACAAATCTTCATACAGAAAGTGAAATGCAGTAAATGTTTCTACTGTAATTGTGCACATAAATCATTTAAATGAGATTTTAGTATCTAAACCTACAAAGTTGGGGTTACATGATCTTTAACCACTAAGATCCCATATAAGCATTAATTTGATATCTGAACTATGTGCTGTGTATGTTTTATCTAGTAAAATCGTTCAGTCAGGTCTGTGTGTGTAAGGAGAAATGAAACATGTGTGTGTGTGTTTCCAGGTGGCGTGTGAATGGGGCAGTGCGTTCAGTGCTGTCCGGTCCACTGTGTGTGAGAGATGAGAATTTGTGGCTCGAGGAGCAGCACTGTTGTGTGATTGTCTGATTGATGATCAAGCTCATGAATATTTATACCTCATTAAGCACTTGTTTTTGTGATAGATACGGCAAGACAAATCAAGTGTCAGTTCAGACAACCGTAAAAAAATTAATAAACTGCCATGCTACCATTCAGAGAAAATGCACAGAAAGGAAAAACAAGCATTTTACTTTAGTTTAAAGTCTTATTTCAAATGTCAAAGGGGCTTTTATGCTACCCATTTTGTCTGTTAGCAGTAGCACTCAGCTAAATTTCTGAATTAGGCAATTTTTTGTTAATCTCCCTCTGGGATACTCGAATTATGCAGCTCATGGGCCAAAATGCGCACCAGGGACCATTGAATAAAATGACCTGCTAATAGCCGATCCTTGACTTTCATATGGTTTTAAAGCATGCAGTAACCAACAATTACAGCTACATGCGCTACATCAGCCTTGTATTTATATCCAATCATAAGTGCTGGTCAGAGACTTTTCATTTCCCAGAACAATGTAGTCAAAGTGAATTAACAAAAAAAAAAAAAAAGTTTCTTTCATACAAATGCATTAATAATTCTTACAACTTCAAAAACGCTGTCAGTTTGTTAATGGTTTATCTTTAAATGTCTTCAGCCTTCACAAATATATCACGACTTAATATTCAAGAAACTTTCACCGATAATTCCCCTGTAATGGCACCATCTCATTCTAACTGGATGCATCAGTTGTTACAAATTATACGTTTTATTTAATTTTAGGTTACTAAATGAAATGCACAAATTTGAACATGCTGTAAAAGGTCTGTCCTTTTGAACCAATCATGATAACAGTATTTGCATATTCTAATTATCTGCTTCACAATTATTAAAATGAAATAAGACAATGAATTTAGAAACCTTCTGTGAATGAATATGGCTATAAATTAAAAGTACATTTAAAAGGCTGAGGTCAGTAAGATTGAGAGAAGTCTCTTATACTCACCATGGCTGTATTCATATGATCAAAAATGCAGTAAAAACAATAATATTATGAAATATTATTACAATTTAAAAATAAATGTATTCTATTTTATTAAATTTTTAAAATGTAATTTATTCCTATGATGGCAAAGCTGAATTTTCAGCAGCCATTTCTCCAGTCTTTAGTGTCACATGACCCTTTAGAAATAATTCGAAGTTTTTTTATTTGATAATTAACAATATTTATTTGAAATATTCATTTTTGTAGCAATATAAAAGCCTTTTTCACTTCAATGTATTCCTGCAAAAAAATAAAAATAATACTGACCACACTTTTCAATGGTAGTGTAATTTAAATAAAAATGCACTAAAAATACAATGTTAAAATAAAAGTCTGCACTGCAAGCAAAGTGACAACAAAACTAGATCACTCCGGTGACTTTGACACGAGTTTTTTTTTTTTTTTTGCAGTGCTTATAATGGGAGAGGTCTTTTCATTCTCTTGCAGTGCACACTCAGAAGCAGCGATTGAATTCATGAAAAAAAAAAAAGTCTTAAAAAGACTTTAGCAGGAGGTCATTGATAAACTCGTGGCAGACTGGATTTGCCCGCAGTCCAGACTTTGAGCTCCTCTGCACTAACCGATTTAACTTCTGAGTCACATAAGATGACTTTTCCCCACTGTCGTAATAACAGTTCACACACACCACACAGAAACTCCAAATTTCGCCCGTGTTGGTGGTAAGAGGGCTTCATTGTGCAAAGGACCTGTGAGGTTTTCTGTTGGTAAAAGCTTGACAGCAGGAAACAGGAGTTTTGCTGTCAGCTCTGGCAGTGCTTCCTGAGAAAAACCTGAAGACCAGCTGAGCTTTTTACCCAACAGACACTGGGAAAATGTGAAGCCTTTCTGTGCAGCACTAAAGCACACAGAGCAGCCATGAATCAGACCTCATGCATGTCGGATGCTCATAGCCCCACATTTCATCCATAGTCACAACACAGTAAGTCCTCACCAAAAGCAAAATTCAAAGTGACTAAATTACAGCCAATCAGAACATATTCAATGTTTATACAAATATATGTGAAATGATTTCACTGTGGGTGAGGCTACAAATGCAATGCGACAACATAGCAACGTGGCTTCAGAAAACTTGCATATAGACTATTTCTGTGAGACATTTTTGTCCATTCTGGAGCTTGACAAAACAAATCACTAACTACTTTTTCATAGGGAAAAGATCAACTCAAATATTCTGCTTAATGGTGTATTCACACCAAAAAGCAAAGCGAATATTCGCATCGGGATACTAGCGATTACTCGTGGGATGTTTTTCGCATCACTCGCGTGTATAAAAACATTGCACTTGGCTCTCCTCCGTTTTCTAATACAACCAAATATGTCAATAAGCTCTTCACCGATTGGCTGGCGTGACAATGCGTCATGCGAATTTCCCGCTCGAGTTCAAATTTTCAACTTTCGTGAAAGACGCGATTGAGGTGAATACCGTGCATTCGTTGCAATCGCATCACTCAATTTGCATCGCCCCACGCAAATTTGGGTCTATTCGTGTCTTTGTATTGACTTTGTATGTAATCTGTATGTAATCTGCAAATAATTGAATTCGCTTTTGGTGTGAACACACCATCACTTTCTTTTGTGTATAACATGAAGGTAAATAAATAATTTATTTGATTTATTTATTTTCATTTTTGGGTGCAATATTCTGCCATTATTTACTCCAAATGTTATTATTTATTCCAAACATGTATGACATTTTCTTCAGTGAAACTCAAAAGAAGATATTTTGAAGGATGTCTAAACTGTTTTTGTCAAATCAAAACACTGGACACCACTGACTTTTATAGTATGCACATGCACATGCACATGCACACAGACACACACACAGACACAGAAAAGAAAAAAAAAACTTTTTTTCTTCCACTGAAGAAAGTCATACAGGTTTGGGGAAAAAAAATGAGGCTGAGTGAATGACATTCATTAGAATAAATACTAGAAAATAGTTAAAATTAAAATATGAAAAATATTTATAACTTATGTTAATAATTTTACAAATAATATATTTTAATGAATTTGTAACTGAAATTAAATTGGAGCAATTTGATTAATTACATTTAAATAAAATTACTAAATTAAAATAAATTAAATGTAAAATTAAAAAAAAGAATGCTTTAGAATAAATAAGATAAAAAGTTACTGCAAGTGCTCCTATTCACTTATGTGCTTATTTTGTTAGGACGTAACCTTGTAAGACCGCTTACTAGCTTTTGGAACTTCTGTCAAGTCGCACATATGAGGCTAAACTGGAAGGAGACAGTCTGCTTTGAAACGAGAATTTCTGACAATGTAAAACTAAGTTTGATGTATGACAATGAGAAAAGAAAAGAAGATAAATGTGAGGAAGGGTAAAAGGAGGGTAGACTGTGGAATATGTAAGATGGTTGATTCGTGTTGTTGTTTCATTAAGGTCAACCCTTCAGCTACTAGCTGCTCAAACCCAAACATGACAACTGACCCATATGGAAAGCCCTTCAGATCTGTTCTGGGCTACTTGTGTGAAGCAAAAAGACTGACAGCTATTTTTAAGTGCAGCCGTACGTTATCATCCCATCTTCCCTGCGGCCTGCTGCCATCTCAGATCATTTTTGTTTACGATCGTCTAAACAAACGACTTTTGTCAAAGCGAAAAAAAAAAAAAAGGACTTGCTACGAAGCACAAAAAAAGAAAACTGGTTTTCGGATTGCTACATTCTGACAGCTCAAAAGCCTCTCTCTTTTTTTGCTCCGTTCCATCAGAATTCATGCGTTTGTGTTATCCCGACTACACACACTGCAGAATCTTTGTTCTCCTCCGGCTCTTCATCATCAAGCGCCTGCGTCATCGCTGACCATGAAGTTGAGACAACACTGCTCTCCACGCTAAGCCGCCAATATTAATCCCTCAGAGCGAGGACGGCACGAAAGCCGGCTAATGCGGCAGAGCAGGCCTCACTGCTGCGGGACCAGCATAAAACATCCCAAACTACTGATGTGTGTGTCACTTAGAGGATGAATGTAAGGAAAAGAGTGTGTATATTTCTGCCCGGTGTTGCGTAATTAACCCTGAAAGCACAATGAAGACAGATGTGGTGAGAAAGTTCATTGACAGTGTCAGGGTTGCCAGCGGTTTAGCCTCAGTCTCATATGGTATGCCCACAGACCGTCTGCTCCAGATCACATCCAAAAATGTCAAAGGCTGGCTGTAATCGGCAACTCCAAATGGAGACTAGGGATGCGCCGATCCGATATTCATATAGGGTATCGGCTCCGATACTGCCATTTTTCTCGGATCGGGTATCGGTCAGAGAGAGCCAATCCAAATCCTAGATTTTTTTTTCTTCTTTTTTTTCCCCGATTGTGCGAATTATTCTGTGTTACTTCTGAAGCCATACGATAGCTTAATGTGAGCTACATATGAATATTTAAGTCCTTACATTAAAGTTCACACACACTCTTTTCTCCGCTGTGGCTGTCAGTCATTCGTTCAGCCTTTAAACCCTGGTCGCGTTCGGTTACAGCAGTCAGCTCGGTAAAGCTCTCTCCAAGATCATTCTGTGTTCCCATTATACTTGATTTGTAAATACATGTCTATGATTTTGCAAAATTAAATCTCTAATAAATCATGAATCAGTTAGTCGCGACTGGCAATGCTTCGGTTCGCGTGTTCTCCGTGCCTCCGCCAAACATTTTGGATCAGAGTAATCAATGTGAGAGAGAGAATGGAGAGGACAGTGGAAGCACACATGTGGAGCAGAGAAGCAAAATTACTGTTCAGGGTTTCAAGTGCAGGTCAGTTCCATCTGTAAATATGCTATTGTAGTTTTGTCTTTGTTTACTT